CTGAACCGCGGCATTCCCTGGGGTAGAGAGGAGATGAATGTTTTGGCTATATTCTCTCCTTGCCCCATGTTTGAAAGTGTTGGACCATCCTACCTATTGAGCCCTTTGTCGGGTACCAGACGTGCCCGTCAGGTGCAGAGCCAGGTGGCCTTACAGGTTTCTGAGCACTTGGGAGAAAAAACACAGGTTTGGTGTCTGTGCCCAAAAGTGGGTAATGTTTGCAGCATGTGGGCTGTGGTGTAGAGGATCTTGTGACGAGAGTATGTCCAAAACCACCCCAACCTCTACACCTTCTGGAAGTCTCAGCAGAGTTTCCCCACCAATTTACCCATTGCCACCAGCACACGTTGGTTACTGGCTGAGGTTTGTCACAGAAAACCCGGTCTGGCGTTTCTGCCAGCTGGTGCGCAGGGGTTGAGGGCCCTCTCTCGCAGACTCCCCTGTTCTCTGCCCCAGTTTCAGATCCTCTGAGACTTCCCCCTTTGACCCTGTGGTACAACAGTGTATATCTCACAGTGGCTGTCACGCATTCATGTTTTTGCTTTTTCCCCTCTCCACAGGTGCTGCCATTGCTGGAGTTTACAGAGCTGCAGGGAAAAAAATGATTCCCTTTGAAGCCCTCATTTTTGGAGTAGGCCAGACATTCTGTGTGGTGGTGGTTTCGTTTCTACGCATTTTAGCCACTCTCTAGCTCTTCTTCAGATGCTAGAGATCACAAATCAAAGGAAGAGCAAAGGACCACCATCTCTGAAGCAAATCATGATGGAGCGCAACTCAAGGCGTGCCTTGGCATATGCTTCTCCACTGGTTAAAGGATATGTGAAGGCTTGCTCCTGCCTCCAGCATGGCTTGAAATTCAGCTAAAAATTGTGAATTTTGTTACTTTTTGGTAACATTAAGTGCCAAGCGAAACTTTATTTCTCTGGAGAGTAGGAAAAGGGCTTCCGGAGGAGGAGACCCACGTACCTTTTACCAGTGATGAATTGTAGCAACAGGATGTAACTAAGATGTGACACGGGCTGTTCTGGGGTAGAAACAGTACTGCAGAGTGATGTGATGTCTTTGGAGCTTGCTTAATGCTTTGATCTCTTGCTGCTTGGTTTGCAGTGAACCTGAAGCTCTTTTAATGTGAATTTTTTAAATGAGAAATTTAATTTGTTTTCTTCCTGGCCCCAACTTTCTAAAATCAGGTCTTGGTTATAGTGAATTTGGGAGCAGCAAAAGGAAAAATAATTTTAGAGAGATGAAAGTGCAAATTTGTGGCCAAGAGCCGTGACGATGAATGCTGCGGCAGGGGAAATAACCGGCATAAAAAGTATCGCTGTTTTTGTGAATTTTATTATGGTGAAGCTCTTCAGGCACTGTGTACCTTCTGCCCGAGAGGCGAAGCACAGCTGAACAGGCGCTATGCCCTGCTGCCCACGCTAGAAATCCCAGGGCATGTGTGTGAGCGTGCACTGTTGCTTCTCAGGCTCTGAAGGAGACTCGTATTTTTAAACTTCACCGTTCTCCTTTTATTTGCTGAACATGTTTACATTGGTGTGGTGGAATTGGGTGTCTTCACTGATACGTAAACACAGCTGGCTAGCATATATAAAATTCAGCACGCTGCTGCTTTGGTGACCGTGCTCGTGAGAACTGCATGGCTGATGCTGGGTTGTCGTGACTTGGGGCTTCCCAAATGTGGAGGCGGGGAGCGCGCTGTGTTTTCGGCATCCAGCTCACAGTGTGCCGGTGGGTGAGATGCCTGTGAGGGTCCTGGGAAGAGCCTAGGTGATTTCCGTGTCTGGCAGGGATGGGTCTTGTGAACATAGTCCCAGACCAACCCTTACCAGCAGGCAGTATGGTCACCTCTAATGAATTGTTTTAGTTTGGTTTAAGTGATTTTTAACTAACTCTTAGATCCGCCCTCTTGCCCAGAGGCATGCCACACAGCCTGGGCTCTTGGGTAGCTAGCTGGGCGCCTTCTGGGGGCTTGGTTTTTTGGGGCCCTTGGGGAAGCTGAGGTTGAATCCCAAGGATGTGGCTGGGCGGTGTAGCCAGCCCCATGGCTTTGCTGTGGTCCTGTTTGTTCGTTACCAGCTGACAGTTGCGTGGGCTGCCAAGGGAAGGCGCCGTCTGTGTCCAACCTCTCAGGACACACGTCCCATCTGTGTTTTTGCTGAACTCCTTTTGTTTCCAAACCAGCTTGCCTTTTGTACTTGCAACATTTTGTAAGGCCAGTTATCTTCCATGAACCCCATGTTCTCTGTGCTGAAACAACCCTCAACAGGGCCGTGTGTTTATCATGAAAAAGAATTTCTCTCTATGTACTAACTTCTCCGGAGTGGTCTGTTGACAGCTGGAGAGAGGTGTTTTTCAGGAACTACTTACTGAGATTACTCTACATTTTAGCCCACGTTCGTTCAGGGAATAAAGCTGTGCATTTTAGGAAAGACTTCAATGTGAATCCTTCTCCTTAGGTGGGTGAGGCCCAAGCAGTATAATGTATACTAAACCCTGGATCTTTGGAGTGTCCCATGGGCTGTGCTGCTTGTAGAGAGCCGGTCTTCCTACTGCTGCATCTCTTGGAGGAAGGCTGGGTGTCTCCTTCCCTCTTTGCTTCTGCCCCCAATGAAAAAGCAGGGATAATGATCTCTCTAGATGTCTTTCCCACTTCTTATTTCAGATGGCTGCATACACAGTGCGTGTCCTGGTTTAATTCAGGTGAATTGCCCTGTGTTTTCCCAGATGTATTAAAAGTCCATCATGAGACTCAGACTGGGCAGGTCTGGCCTTACCTTTCAGGTGACGCTAGAAACCAGTGTCCTGGGCACCCGCTGTGCTCCCCTTTCCCCCTGCCCCAGTGCCTGGCATCCCTCAGTAGCAACAACTAAGCTGATCACAACTGGGAAAACACTTTATTGGTGTGCTGTGGCACAAGGATGGTTCCTCTGCAGTAATGGGGCTGAGGCATCCAGGGGACAAATCCAGGTTGTTATGAGCTCAGAACAAATGGAAAAAAAAAAAACCCAAACCACTCCACTCGATAAAATCACTCAGTGCTGGGTGAACTGAAAACCTCCTGTTTTCTACCCATTGTGATCTCACAAAGTCTGTTTTGAGGGGGGGTCTGCTTCACTTGAAGAGTTGGCAGCTTGGACACTGTTTGGAAGTTGAGTGGTTGGAGCTGGTGGTGCCTCTCTGTGCCCAGGTGCTGTGAAATTTTCAGGGAATTTTTGCGTAAAAGGTGAACATTCAGTTGCTGACTTGTCTCGGGGGAGAGTTCTTTGTGTTGCCTTGGTACTCGTAGAGCATCCTCCACTCCCCTGGCTGCCTTCCCGACCTCCCTCTCCAGTAAAACTGGATCCAAACAGGAAGGAGTAGTAGTTTTGAGTTGATGCACCAGATCAGTCACTGCTGGTAGTTTCCTCTCTTCTCTCATCACATCGGTTTGGTCTTCCCTTTGTGTTCCTTATCCTGAGTGAAGTGAGCAGAGGAATTCCTTCAGTTTTCAGCAGGTGTCAGTAGACTTCCCTCGGTCAAACTTGCCAGAAGTTGTAAAGAGCTGGTAAATGCCGAGGTGTCCTTGGCTGGGCGGTGCTGTGACCCCCTGGCCGGGGAGCCTAGACAGGAGCATCGGTCAAGGAGACACCTTGCAGAGAAGCTGCCTGCCCTGGAGAAACATCACTGCTCGAGCTGAGACTCGTGGTCCTGCTTTCTGTGTGCAAAACTCCTCTGTGCTGGGCTGATTTAGATACCACACGACTTTCTATCTTGCTAACAACTGTGGCTGTCGTGAACAAATCTTTTTATGATAGAAAACTCTGTAAATTTTATTTTTCTACTGACACTTCTAATCCTGGTGGTGATTATCAGTAAATTCTGTAAAGATCAAGGTGAACAGAGTTGTGTGTTTCTCCTGCAGGGCAACAAGGGGGCCTGCATTGTGCTTTTGGAAATGAGCCTTGCTCCTGCTTTGCACAGGGCAGCTTCCTCCCACCCGAGGCCATCTGCACCAGGAAATGTCCTGGTTCTGGTGGTTAATTTTGTCTCCATTAGGAGCTGGACAGGCGCCTGCAGCCAGGGACCACAGCCCAAGGTGACATCTCGCTGCTGCTCAGCAGTTAGGGACGGGCTCTCTGTTTTGAGGCCAGAAGTCCCCATCCCTGAGCGGATGCACAGGGTTCCCGCAGCCCCTGGGCTTGGTGCTGATCCGCTCCCGTCCCCCTGGGACAGTTCTCACTTCAGGACGGTGGCTTTGCCAGGGCTGTGGATCAGTCCCTGCGCACTGTTTGGGCTCTCCTGGGGGAGCAGGCACGGGACCCCCACTGTCCCCTTGCTGCTCTCAGGATGGGGCATGGTTCAGCCTGGGACCCCATGCCTCACCTGCATGGCTCTGGCCAAACCCAGGTCTGGAGCACCACCTGCACTATGGGGGCCCGTGTTTTATATCTATATACAACCTGCATAGACTGAGATCAGAAAAATGAGTTTTCTAAGAGGGTGGCAGCTGTGCATGGTGGGCATTTCCCAAGAGCTGGCATCCACACACCGTTGCTGCTCCCCCAGACCCCTGGGCGAGTGTGCTCTGAGATCAAAACTCCTGAAAAATTCACATCCCGAGTTGGCAGGGATCCAGGAGGCTTTATTGGCAGTAAAACGTCAGCACATTCTCTTGGTTTCCACGGATGAGGAGGACGGGGGGTCTCAGGTCCTGCGAGAGGGTCTCGAGCCAGGCCATGTAGAGGGAGCCGGGGCAGTGACCCTTCCTGCCGATGGGCAGCGTGCTGCAGTGGCA